CTCCTGCCTCTCGTGGGGCCACAGGTGGGATCAGCACGGGCTCTCAGGGAGGGGACACTCGCCCTGTCACGAGATGTTACGCGTGGCTCCCAAGCCGCCCCTGTGGCTCCACTAGTTAGCTGCTACAGACCAGGCCTCACCTGCGGGTAGACCAGACACCCGGACCGAGCTGGCCAGGCAGCAAAACCAAGCCTTACAGCCACCAAGGCCTGCCTCGGGCCTCGTTGACGTCAGGGTCCCACAGCCTGTTCTGCTCCCGCAGGCCGACAGCAGGGCCCGGAGGGCGGGGACCTGCAGAGGCCCGCACGCCAGGTGACGAGACTCACCACCCCCGACCCGCCGGGTCACACGCGAGTGCCTTTCTGATCTTATCCACGAACAACACCGGTCTTTTCATCGCCCGGGATAACAAGGCACGCACGGCATTCCAGCCTGCATAGCTCGCGAGGGCTCCGATTCCTGACCCCCGCTGTCACCAGGCGCTCCGCCTCACCCGTCAGCCGGATGACACGCCTGGGCTCCTGTGTTCTTACAGTGGAGCCACACACACACACACACACACACACACACACACACACACGCAGCTGAGACGTCACAGAAAACCGACGTGCGCATCGCCACCCTCGCTCGGTTCTTTTCCGGATGGAGAGCCTGTTCCCAGGCTCCGGAGTGTGCCGGTTGGGAAAGCAGTTCCGCCTCTTCCCAGAGTGACACACAGAGGGTCTGCCATCACTGCGATCGCTGGCTCGGAAGGGCGCAGTGCAGCCCACGCCCCTCACCTGGACCAGGGACCCCACAGGCAGGCGCCCCACATCCTTGGGACCAAGAGCCGCTCGCCGGCACCCTGTGACGGACAAGATCAACGCTACCCGACAAAGGAGCCTCAGCCATTTGCTGGCGCCGACCTGCTCCTGGGTGGGAGACGGATTCGACGCAACACACGGAAACGCGCCCGGATCCGTGGGGTTCTGTGGACTCACCCTCGGGGTGTACTCTGCGTCGTTGCGGATCCGCCTCTGCAGACCCCTTGCCGCCGGGCTGCCGGCCAGTTCCGCTGTAACGGGAAGCATCCTGTCCCCGGGAGCTTCGGACAGGGGAAATGGAGCTCAGAGCATTTCAGCCCAAACCGTGCCTCTCTGGCAGGTGGACTGTTCTGCATTCAGTGCAAGCTGAGAAACAGCAGGTGCACGGAGGGCCCTCTGACCTCTGTTTCTCTTCCTCTGACCTCTCCTCTCCCTCCTGACACGAGGAGCTAAGGTGCCCTCCCGGACCAGGCGGAACAGAACCATTTCCATCAGCGGGGACGAGGCATCAGATGAGAAATCGTCCCGAACCAGCCTCGTGAGACACGCCCTTATCTCCCTCCACAATTTGTCATGGCGGGAAGCCCTGGGGCTCGTCGGCTCATCATGGAAAAGGTGTAAAAACTCCCTGCCCTGGTCACCTGTCCAGGTCTCGGGGCTCCTGTGCACGGAAAAGGTGAATAAACTCGTATGCTCTTCAGTTAAACTGTCTAATGCTGCTTTCGTTCTGGGGACCCAAGCAGGGAAGAGGAGTTTTTGCTCGCCACTCATTGCCTTTCCGGATGCACTCTGACCTTGCTGGGTGGGGTCACACTGCAGACCCCGGGATTACTCTCAGATTCATGCCCACGAGGAACGTGCAGAATTCTGTCCTCTGCTCCTTAGAAGCTCGAGCCGACCAGGGTGATTGGCACCTCATTATTAAATCCCCAAACAAGCGTAACATGCCAGGGAAGGCACAAAACCCAACCCTCTGACACCCTGGCACGACATCCAAGGGGAACGCGGGACACGGAAGGAGAGGCGCCCGGGGGCGCGCCAGGGTGGAGCCGTCACCCGCCGGCATGGGAGTGATGGTGACTTCCGGTCCCGCCAGAGTGCTTCTTCCAGGGAAACCTGAGCAGCCAGCTCTGCGCCCCGAGGCCGCAGGCGAAGGGGCGGGCCCGCTTCTGCAGCTGCGGGGGCCGGCCGCCCCGCCCGCGGAGCTGCCTGCCGGCCTGCACGGACGCCGCGGGCCGGAGGCGGGGTCTGCGCGCTGGGGGGCGGGGCCGCCCACTCCGGGGCGGGGCCGGCCGCCGCGCATGCGTAGGCGGTGGCTCCGGGCCGCTTTCTGGCTGCGGGAGGGCGGAAGTGCACGGCCCGCCAGGTTTCCGGCTGCCGGGGCTGCGGCGGCGCTGCGGTTGCGGGATGGCGGGGCGCGCGGCGGCGGGGGGCGACCCGGACGGGCCCCGGGAGCGGCGAGGCCCCGGCGAGGCGGCGAGGCCGCAGCAGAACCACCAGGCGCGGCCTGAGCCCGCGGCGGGCCGGCTGCCCAAGCACTCGTACTGGCTGGACCTCTGGCTGTTCGTGCTGGTGGACCTGGTGCTCTTCCTGCTCGTGTACCTGTGGCCGTGGTGAGAGCTGCGAGGCGGGGCGGCGGGGGCCGGCGGCGGGGGGCAGGGGCTTCCCGGGCCCCCGGGCGCGGCTCTGGGGACCGGTGTGCGGGAAGCGGGCTCACGGCCTCCTCGCTGCCCCGAGACGCGGCAGGTGCCTAGCTTCGTGGAGCTTTTGTCGTTACCACGGGGGCCCCGGGTGGCCAGGTAGTGAGGACTGCAGTGACGTATCTGCAGGCGTCTCAGGCTCCAGCAGCAGTTTCCCGGGGTTGCCATTTCAGTGGACGTAGCTTCAGCCTGGGGCGCCCACCCCCCGTTTGCACCCTCCCACCCACCCGTCCCGAACACCAGCGGACTCATCGCGCAGCTCTGTAGGTTCCACTCGCAAATCCATGCTCCCTGTTCCCATCGTCACGTACTCGGGAACAGTTCTGGCAGCAGGAAAGGGCCGGGGGCTCAAGAGGCAGCCCGAGGGACACCGGGCCCAGACGCACTTGGGGGGGCGGGTGGGGACAAGTGTGGAGAGAAGCAGGGAGCCAAGGAGGCGCCTGGGGAAGAAAAGCTACTGCTCATCAGACAGGAAAAGGCTCCTTGGGCCTTGGAATGGATCACGCCTGGGAATTGGCACTCTTTTTTTTTTTTTAAGATTTTATTTATTTATTTTTAGAGAGGGAAGGGAGGGAGAAAGAGAGAGAGAAACATCAATGTGCGGTTGCTGGGGGCTGTGGCCTGCAGCCCAGGCATGTGCCCTGACTGGGAATCGAACCTGCAACACTTTGGTTCACAACCTGAGCTCAATCCACTGAGCTACGCCAGCCAGGGAAGGAATTGGCACTCTTGATAGGCAATTGCGTCTTCTTTCCCCACCTTCACCCAAGTCTCAGCACAGAGTTGAGCATAAGCTCCTATCTGACCTTTGTCACCTTTGTCTGACTTCTTGGGTCTGTGTTAGGTGAGGAGGGAGAGGGGTGAGTGGGGTGAGTGGGAGAGGCGGGTGTTTGTAAAGGCAGTTTCCACACTTCTCTACCTCCCCGCTTTTTTGTAGAGATACCTCAAATATAGTGGGGGTTTTTTTAATTACCTGGATTTTCAGCTCTGGGGAGAAAACACAAGGCTTTCGATGAATAGTTCAGGCTACTTTTTGCTCTTATCAATATGTCCATCATTAGGAATGGGCAAGTGACCAAGACAGGTGACTTCAGCAGTTGGTATCAAGTATTATTATGGGAAGAAAGGAAACACTGTTGACAAATACTCATTTTTTACAGACGGGTGGCCTGACACCCACATTGAGATGTCGGCTCCGGGACCGGGTTCTGAAAATGACGCGCTGCTGGAACGAAGAGGACAGACAGGGTTGTCCAACAGAGGTTCAAACTCTGACGGACCTTCCTCTCGTCTTGCACGTTTGTTACTCATTCGGGGACTCGATTCGATGGGTAATGAATGATGCATAGCTAAGCTCTTAAAACTAGACTCTGATTCATGTTTTAAAACTTTTTCAAGCATCTGATGGCTTTATAGAAGCTGAATTAAAATATTTATATGGAAAGGTTTAGTGTATTCATTAAGAACTACAGTAATGTCTTCTAACATTTTAAGGGTTGGCCAGGGTTTAGCGTGATGCAGATGATCTGGTGAAGATGATAAGGTGAAGTCCCTCAAGACAAGTAACTCAGCAGGGCGGGAAGGATTCTGAGACAAGTGGGAAGCCGCACGGAAGATGCAGGTCCAGGAAGCACCGGCTCTGCCTGGGCCTCGGGCGTGGCTGCCAGATGGACACCTTTTCCGGGAAGGTGGGCGGGGCCCGACGGCAGAAGGCTGGGGCGCAGGTCTTCCCACCCCACTCCCCTCTCCGCCTTTCAAGCTCTGGAACTCCCTAAAATAGGACGGTGTGTTTCAAAGCCGTTTTTTATAATTAGGGTTGCATTAAGAATGCTTGTGACCAAAACTTTTTTTTTTTATAATGTCTGTAACTTAACTAACTAGGGTATTTCAGCAAAGTCAGCGTATTTTACTCATTCAGTACATATTTGAGCTTTTAGTGTGGGCCGAGTCCAGCCCCGAGGGTCGCAGTGAAACCCGGGACTGACTTTGGAGCACTTGACCCGTGGAGCACCCGGAGGAGCGGGGTGGGGGTCCCCGACACTGTGCGAACCAGCTGCTGCCATGCTGCCTGTAGTGGCTGTGGCATCCGAGAGACGCCCCTTGCGTAGCTCCCATGGTCTCACTGCACTGGAGGTGGGGGCAGCATGAACACCTCTCCTGTAGCTTGACATGAAGTCACACGCACAGACTTACAAGCAGGCCGCCTTTCTGGGCCCGAAATCGGCCCACGACCACGAGGACGGAGAGTTCTGAGCATTTCCAGTGCCGGGAGGGTGGCGGACCTCCGGGCTAGGTCGCGCCCCTAAGCGGGGTGAACAGAACTGGGGGTCGTGGGAGGGCGGGTCTGGTGCCCCCGATGCTGCACAGGAAGTCGCCGCCCACCAAACTGCCCCCTCGGCCCAGCGGCGGCCACAGGCCCCGCCCCTAACCTTCCCACACTGATGCGCCGAGAGGAGCTGACAGACACGCTGTGACAAAAACAAAGACGTCAGAAGAGTGAGCGGCCACGTGGTTTTAATCTGGAGAATTTCACAACAGAAAAAGGCTGTGTTAGTAACTGTTTGAAATGAACGGGCTGACCAGGAACCGCGAGGAAGCCCGGAGGGTCCGTTAACCTGAAGACGTGAGGACGTAACGCGCTCCACGCGCCCAGGCCCCGGGTGGCACGGGGCCGCATTCAGAGCCCCCGGGGTCTTCGGGGCCAGCGAGGCCAGTCATGTAGAGGATACTGCCGGGTGAGGGTCCTCCGACTGTGGCCAGTGGGCCAGCTGCCGCTTTTTATAAGGCCTGTGAGCGGAGAATTATTTTTGCATCTGAAAATGACCGAGAAGAATCAAGGCCCCCTGGACAGGTGAAACTTGTCTGCAGCCTCGGACTTCCACATCCGAGTTCCGCGGGGCCTACGTGTGCCTCTGCAGCTCTCCAGGGAGCTGTCTGTGGGACACGCCGGGGCCCGCAGGCCTGCGCTGCTGACCCTCTGGCCGCCTACAGAGGCTCGGCCAGCCCCGGTGGGAGCCCTGCTCTGCGCCCCACTGGGAAGACGCTGCATGGTCAGAGGCAGCCCCCGCACCCCTGGACCCGGGACTGACGGACGTTTCTCATAAAACGCCTGATCCACACGGGGGAGAGGTAGCCACGGCTCGTGGATGCCAAGGAAAGTCCAACTGTATCAACTTAAAGGTCAGTTTATCAAAAAAAAAGAAAGTCTGGAACCAGAGAAACTGATTTCACATGAAAATAGAATATTTGGAAGACTAATACAGTATTTCGAATATTAGAACTGGTTGCGTTGCTTCAAAAATTATCACAATAAGCTTGTAACCAGAAGAAAACACCTATAAAAATAAATAGGCACCCTAAAAATAACACGTTTGCATGTGAATTGTTAGTTACTCAATATGCACTCAAACTACACGTGGAGTGTTGAGTCAGCTGGGGACGTACGGCGGTTTCCGATGGTTGGCACTGGGGCCCGAGCCCGGGGGAGGGAGGGGGGGAGGGGGGCCCCCCGCTGGACAGCGCTTTAGGAGGAGCCGCAGCAGGACATTTCCAGTGGGAGTCTGCAGCTCGGTGGCAAGCTGAAAATACAAACCTATGAGATTGCTGTTAAATATCAGGAATTATTTAACTGTTTCAAATAATACAGTTCAGCTAGACAGCTTGACAAAATAGAAAACAAAAAAGCCCACAGAGCTTTCAAAAGCTATTAAAAATACTTGGAGCCCATTTTCTAGTATGTTACAGTGTTATAAAAGCAATATTTATATATGCTGATATTTCAAATACTATTTTACAAAGTTTACAGTATGCACAAATGTTCCGTACTAAAAGTTATGTTAAAAAATAAGCTTTCTCGAAAGATAAAATTCAATTTGGTTGGTTTTCAAGTATCTCTAAACTCAGAGAAGGGCTCGCCGCCGCTGTAGTTAGAAAGGGCCGTTTAAGCGTCTCTCGGCGGGAGGCGGCGTGGACCGGGATGCGGGAACGGGGTGAAGTCAGATCTTCTCGAGCAAGTCCTTTCTAGTTGTCCAGAAGTACGTTTAGTCGTGTGCATTTTGGAATATTTTAACAATTTGTGGGACTGCCCAAAACATTAAATTTAGTAGTTTGTTTACAGAATTAACAAGTTATATCTACAGACTTTATCCACTGATGAACGCAAGGAAAATTTTAATTCTGGAATTCTTAGTTGCCTGGACTGGGCAATGTAAAACTCGTCGAAGCCACAGTCGGCCCGCTCACTGCGAAACGGAAGGACAGCAAGTGAAATAAGGCGACTGAAGTAGCACTCCTGCCCTTGTCGGGTCGCCGTCACACCAGGAAACCCCTCTGCTTTACCTAACGGAGACGCCCCCGTGACCGTGAGGGGGAAGCAGCACGCCGTGAGCCCTGAGCCCTCTCAGGAGAGGCAGAGATCTGGTCCGGGAACCCCGAGGGTTCCGGGTTCCAGGCGGAAGCTCCCCACGGCGGCCGACCGACGGCAGGGCCGGGCTCCAGGCGCACGCAGGACAGTGGCTGGCCCCGCACACTGGGCCCCCGCCGCCCGCGGCAGACCAGGCCCAGGTGAAAGCCGTGCACGTGTCACGTAGAACCAGAAAACTGACGTGACAGGTAAACGGACCGGAGCACTCGGACCGCCGGCAGCGCACCTGGCGGAGGTGCTGTGTGTGTGGACTCACAGGACGTCGCGGCCTCGTGCTGCTGGCCGGGCGTCCCGGAGACGGGCGTCCTGGGAGCAAAACCAGCGTCTTTGGCTCAGAGCTCGAGACGGGAATTTAAAGACCTTGTTATCGTTCAGGCCTCTCCCCCCAGACACGACCGGCTCCCCGGGCCGCGGTTTTCTAAGGCGCTCGGCCGTGCGGGCCCACGGCCCCACGTCAGGAAGCAGCGGCCGGTGTTCTCGGGCCCCGCTCTGACCGCGCACTGTGCACCCCCGGCCTGCCCCTGGAGGCATCTTCCCACCTGCGCGCACAGGTGCTGGCTCGTCTCGTCCTCAGGGGCCACGACCCACAGAGTACTACAGGGCGACTTCCATTCTCGCCCTACTGCGGCCGGCGGCCGGGCGCACCCCGGCGTTCCGTCTCTCCGGGCACGCCAAGACTATGCGAGGGGGTTTCTAGAACACCCAGAGAATCATCCAGGTGCTTCCAGAACGCTCTAAAACTGCCACGGTGTGTGCTGCCTTCTCCGCTGGGCTTGGTTGGTGCGTCCCGTGCCGTGCCGTGCCGTGCCGCCCTTAGGGCCCAAGGGCGTCCTCACGGGTCTCCGACGGCGGGGCGGCCCGGGTCCACCTCTCTGCCGGGCGGAGCAGTGCGCCCCGGGGCGGCTGATGGCATGGCCCCCGGGCCTCCTCCTCCTCCCGGAGCGGCGGCAGCCTCGCTGCAGGAGCCCATGCGCTCCAGCAGGCAGAGCCGGGGCCGCTGGTGGTACTTCAGTCGGTAGGTGTCGGTCATGCAGCTGTCCACCGAGAAGTAGGTGGTCAGTGACACCGGCTCGCTCGGGCAGGCGGGGCCAGCAGCCACTCCTGGTTGGCACCGCGCAGGGACAGGGGGCCCCGCGTTGGCGTGGGCACCCCCAGCCGCGGGGCTGGACGGGCGGCCCCACGCGGCGCCCACAGGCCCCGCAGGTCTGCTGTCCCTCGTGCATGTCCGAGCGTCGGGGCCCGGCTCCAGGGCCAGGCCCACACTGGGCCGCGGGGGACCGGGAGGACAGGCTCTGCGTGGTGGTGCCTCGGGAAGTCTGGCCTCGTCTCTCCTCAACGGTGGCGACACACTGGGGACCGCATGCTTTTTTGGCGGCAGAGGGGGCGGTGAGTCCTGGTGGAGGAGCTTTGGAGCCGGAGCAGCGTCAGGCCTGCAGGCGGCCAGGACCCCGTGGGCAGGGCCTTCCAAGGGACAAGACCCCCAGGGACACGGCACCGCGGGCCAGAGCTGCGGTGTGGCGGGCAGCGGGGCAAGGGGCGCAGCGTCCGCCTTCAGCCCAGCAGCGGTCCTCCCGGGTGGGACAGCGGCGTCACCTCTCCTCCGCCCGGACGCAGGAAGGTCGTCAGTGTGGGGAAGGAGGCCCGTGTCCTCGGAGCCCCCTGTGCGCGGCCGCCCCGCGCTCGTGCCGTGGCCGTCCCGCTGCTGCTGCTGCTGCTGCTGCTGCTGCTCCTCCTCCTCCGGGCGGGGAGCACGCTCCCGGGCCACGCGGGCCTTGCGGGTCTGCGGGCTGGACCAAGGGGGCAGCTTGCCGCTGGCGTCCCGCACCGGCGACCTGGAATGTGGGAGCAAACGGGGCTGTGACACGCAGACACGCGGAACCGCGGGAAAGGCAAACATCGGTCCCCCAATTTCACCCCCAACACGCCCACGCGGTTTCTGCAACACGGCAGCAATGGGAGACAGTTCAAACCAGGTCCGCCCTACACCCTCTGCCTGCGGGACCCTTCTTCTGGCAGACCACCTGGACGCTCGCCAGGAACACCTGTCTCTGCTGGGACCGACGTTCCGGCGACTAGAGGAAGTGTGGTTAGAAACTGATTGCAGCTCACACACCCTGAAATTCCACATTTGTGGACGCACCGCGGCACAGACTCAGAAAGAAGTTACAGGCAAACACCTCCACGCCCTGACACACTTCCCGACGCACACGCACAGAGTGAGGTGCAGTCGGAGGGGCCCTTTCATTCCAGCACACAAGGACAGCACAGTTTAAAAACATTCAGTTACTCGCCCTGGCTGGCGTAGCTCAGTGGACTGAGCGCGGGCTGCGAACCAAAGCATCGCAGGTTCGATTCCCAGTCAGGGTACCTGTCTGGGTTGCAGGCCATGACCCCCAGCAACCGTACATTGATGTTTCTCTCTCTCTCTTTCTCCCTCCCTTCCCCCTCTCTAAAAATAAATACATAAAATATTTTTTAAAAATTCAGTTACTCAAGACTGCCTCTGCTCAGGCAGTAACCGACTCTGAAACTGAGGACAAAGGCATCGCATCGCGGGTTATTTTCCCACCCGACTACCTTCACCGTGTAGCTACACGGTCTCGTCAGGGCGGGGCGGAGGGAGGGGGGTCTGCCAGGTGGGCAAGGGCTCCGTTCCGATGCCGGCTCTGCTGCTTCGGGCAAGCCACCTGATCTGAGCCCCAGTTTTCTCTCTGGGAAACGCCGTCCGCTCCCTAGAACCCCGTGGGGCCCGTGGGCCTGCCTCCTGCGGGGGGCCGGGGGGACACAGGCACCCGGACACCTCAGCCCCATGGCTCGCTCAGCCCCACGGCTCGGAGGGGCGGCGGGTGTCTCCGCCTTTCTGCCAAACGCGGAGCTCCCCCAGGACACGCGTTGGAGAGAGAAGATTCTGGTGTTTCCGATACTTCCCCTCCGCTACCTTTTCCCCAGAGGGTCCTTCATCTGCGGCCGTGGCTCTGGGTCGCCCTCCTGAGAGTTGCAGCCTACCTCCAAGTTCCGGAATTCTCTCCTAAAGCCTGAGGGAGGAAGTGAGAAACACAAAATCACTCCAGTTCTTCCAGTTAACAAACACTCATTCCGCAAGACTCGGCTCGACTCGAATAAAACCTCTTCTTTGAGGCTTTATCCAGAATGAAGGGCTGTTTCCCCGGTTTGTCACCACTCGAAAGTGCCCGCAGCGCCGGAACAACACTGTCCCCGTGGGCGGGGGGACCCGCCCCCGGCTGCGCAGGGGGGGGCCTGTGCGGAGGCGGGAGGGGTGGGGGGGAGGAAGCCTGTGCGTGGAGGTGGGAGGGGTGGGGGCCTGCACGGAGGACGGCTGGCTCAGGCCGTGGTCTGCAGTCACCGCCGATGGGCGGGGGGCTCGAGGGAAGCCCCTGAACCCTTCCCCTCCAGCATCCCCGCGTGAGAACGAGACGGCGGCGCCAATCCCACTGGCCCCCAGGAAGGCGAGGGGCGTCGCCTGAACTGAAACGAGGGGGCGCACCAGCGTGATGGGGGAAGTGCCTAAGCTCCACCCTGGGGACCGCTTCCACTCAGACAGACGGCAGCCAGCCCCGTTGACTCAGGCTTGGTGGCCGGGCAGAAATCCCCCGAAACGAGAGCCGTGAACACCCGACCCCAGGGAACAGCCGGCGGTGTTTACCGCCAGCGATGAGGCCCCAGCCTTCAGGTGAGAGTAAGGATTTCAGGAAACTTGGGCCGCCGCCACGAGCTCTGCAGCCTCCCCAGAATTAGAAACACTTCTGCTAGCATCCGTGCGGACATTAGCAAACATGGTTTAAAAAACACACGACGAAAGTGCCCACGACTGACCGCACAGGACGTCATAAAACCAGGCGTGACCACAGTCAGTCATTCTCTAAACGGATAAATAAGTTTTTAGAACGTTAGGTCCGGATGCCGAGTGCAGCACGTGTCGGGACACACGACTGTGACCACGGCAGGTCTGTGAGGCCGTGCGTATTTCCAACAGCACCGTGGCCTGCGGTCGGGAGGGCTGCAAACCCCCGGTCTCGCAGGCGGAAGACCAGCTGTCTCTCCAGAACCCACAGGCGCCTCCGTGACACCACCCCCTTTGCGGTCCCCAGGAGGGCGGGTGGCCCAGCGCTGCACACGCTGGGCGGTGACAGCAGCCTCGGGGAGCCCGTGCTGTGCCCCCGCGTGGACGGAGGTCCCCGCGCCAGAGCCACTACCCCCCGAGGTCACGGGCAGCATTCCCGTCCGAGGAGGCGAGGCCCCTGGCTCGAACACCAGGCACGTGGTGCGCCCCCCGCGTGCCGATGCCCGCAGGGGCCAGCGGCGTCCGCGGCGTGAGCCTGCGCTTCCGGGCGGCGGCCCCCGCCCTGCCTGATGCCGACGCGTCCTCTGAGCCCCCGGTGTCAGACGGCCTGGCCCTCGTGCTCCCTCGTCCCGGGCCCCCGGCATTCCTGCGCGACCGGACCGAGGCACTGACTGGAGACCGAAGGAAACACCGTCTGAGGGTTCAGAGCAGCGGCTTAGCTCCTAACAGCAGCAGCAGCAACAGGGAACTCGACCGCAGACGCCCTTTCCACCCCCGACCGGGTCCTCCGGGCGTGTTTTTAAAAGCTGCCCCGCCACTCGAACTCCAAGGGGAGTCACATTGACCGAAACACCTACGTGTCACCCGACCAAGGAGGCCGTGTTTGGCTTTGGCCGGGCTCTGCCGGCCGGGTCTGGGAGCACTCCCCGAGGCAGACCTGGGCAACAACACCCAGAGCGGGACGCCGTCTGTGCGCAGCGGCTCACACCGAGACGACCACAGCTGAGGGCAGTAGCAGCCCGAGGGCACCGCGCAGTCCCAGACGCGCCCCCACCCCGCGGCCCCGCAGGCCCCGCTGCCCTGCGGCTCCCCGAGGGCTGGGGCTGCCTCAGCTCCCCGCGCACAGGAGACGTTCCCGGAAGTCTGCAGGGCGGAAAAGCGACCGCAGGAGACACGTGCTCTTTTCCTTCCTGACGCCACCCCCACCCGGCCCACCCCGCTCCCAGCCCAGGCTCCCGGGACCAGGGGGGTGTCAGGGGAGACCCGCTCTCCCCAACCTCCCCGGCCGCCCCAGGTCTCCCCGGGCCGCTCTAACCGACCGCACCCACGAGGGGCGCACGTCCCGGAGTCTCGGCTGCTGGTGAGCCGGACACACGCGGCCTGACAACCAAGCCCCTCTCTGGACAGTTACTGTTTGATTTAAAAAAAAAAAATGCTGTCAGAAAGAACCTCGATAATGTTTCCTCTTCACTGAACATTGTAACTTTACATCACATTATGCTTTTGCACCCACTCTGATTTCAACTTCAGAATGTTCACTTTACCTTTCACTTACTCTTTCATTCCAAGTTTACTGTACTCACAAACTCGATATTCACAAAATGCTAATCCTCCAGCGTGTGTCACTTTCATGAGAGCGTCCACCCAGCGGCCAGCAGGGGGCAGCAGCGGCCTCTGCAATGTCAGCACCGCTGTGGCAGGCAGGCAGGCAGGCGACCAGGCGGCCTGACTTCAGAATTCCAGCTCGCTTAAAAATAGACCTGTTATTTTCCCTTCTGCTGACACAGACACCCGTGTGTCTCTGCAGGGAATTCTGGCTCCAGGCTCTCTGCAAATCTAAAACAGGCCGATTTTAACACCTGGCACAGAGATACCGCAACGTCAAAACGAGAAGCCTCAGTGGATAGTCGTGACAGCTTGGTTCTGTACACGAAAACACCCAAAGCCCAACAGTCGAGAAACCAAACTTCCTCTGAAACGGCAGCCTGGGTTTGAACAGCCTCTGTGTGGCAACGACACCAAACAGCTGGCGGGGGCCGCGCCACCCCACCCGGGCGGCACAGGGGGGCTGTGGGACACGGGGCCTCAGTTACGGGGCCCACACAGTCCAGAGCCGGGCCGTGACTGGCGGTCGGATTCATGACAGTGAGACACCTCAACAAAATCTGAACACTTCAGAAGAACCACAGAACGGTCACTGGGTAAATACTTCTGGCTGCACTTTCCATGCACTAAAAGGAGCAGACGCCTTAACAACGCTCTGAGGTCACCGAACTCGGGGGAGATACAGGGTAACAAGGCAGGAATCAGTAACTTCTTTCCTCACTGGGATTGTAACTCAAAGGAAACACAAATCATGCTATTTTGCTACAAATTAACTTTCAATATTGAGAGTGTATGGCTTTGAAACATACACAGATAAACCTGTAGGAGGTGCTGGGCCACAGAACGGAGAAGAAACTGGGAGTAAACACACCAGCTCTCAACAGTCGGTGCGACTCAGAGAGAGTAAATTAAATGTGCCAAGGAACAAACCGACCGTCAAAAGCACCTCTTTCTCCAGACACACTTTGTAATGTATTTGTTTTAAGGGAAGGCACTCTGCAGTTTGAAAACGATTCTTGGAGAAAATCACCACTTGGGCACGTGTGCAAACTCTCCCAACAGCGTATTTTCACTCGCGGACCCCAGGAGGTGCCAACCCTGATGGCAGTGAGCCTGTTTCACCTCACAAAGTGGGGGCGCGGACTTCTCTGCAGGGAGGACTCCAGGGCGTTAACAGGTTTCTGAGCACCGGTGAGGCTCCGTCCCTCTCGTCACCTCCGGGGTCCGGGTCCCCAGCCGGCACTGGCCCGCCCCTCCCGGGACCGGAGGCCGCACAAGCACCGGCGGCCACGGCCGGGGGTGGGGGGGGGGGCTCTGGGAGCCCCAGCAACCGCTCTGTGATGTGCCCCGTGAGAGCCGCACCGACGTGGGCAGGGGACCACGGCCTCTAGGGAGCAGGCCACCGGGGCTGAAGGCCTCCCTCCAGTGTCCCCAGAATCCCCACGAGGGAGGGGCCTGCCGCCCCTCCACCTGTCCCTGCTCAAGCCTGTCTCTCCCCCTCCTCCCTCTCCGCCCGAAGCCGGGCTCCTTGGCCAGCACCCGACCCCAGCCACTCCTCCCGCCCCAGCGAGGCTCCTCCCCTCCATCCCGGGCTCACCTCTCTCCCCGCACACCCCACGGTTGGTCCTTCCCGTCTCTGCCCCGAAAACCTCCAGCTCCCTGAGTGATGCACTGCGTGTCCCTGTCGTTCAAACCCACCCTCTCTCCTGAGGGCGCTAAACCTCCGCTGCCGACTGCCCGGTGAGCCCACCGACCAGGCCGGGGGGGGGGGGGCGTGCACGCCACGGAGCAGGGCGGAGACAGAGGCAGAGACCAGAGGACTACGGCGGGCTGGGGTGGCTGCCGGCCGTGAATAAATGGTTTCAGCAGATGGGGTTTCGTGGTGAGTGAAAGGGGCCCACAGACAGCCCCAGGGAGACACCACTTCCACCCATTGGGGTGGCGGTGATCAAGAAGGACCGGGCGCCCCCGAGCTGGGAGAAGTGGGGAGGCTGCCCCCCACACACACCGGGCGCTGTGGGTGGGACCGGAAGCCAGCGCCGCTGCTGGGACAGGCAGCTGCTGAAGAAGTCCCCACGGGGACCGCAGGGTGCAGCCCCTGCGCCCGGGGCCAGTCTCTGAAGAACTGGCACGGGCTCCCAGATGGCGGCCCCCCCAGTCCTCACGGCCCAGGGTGGACGCCCCCAGCTGTGCAGCCAGAGACGGATGGGTGGGCGAGGCACACTCGTCGGGCTGCAGGGGGACAGCAGCCCGGACCAGGGACGAGGTTGGGCAGAGACTGCGGGCGGAAGGGCTGTGGAGACACGGTGCTCAGTGAGGGGAGCCGACCTCGGAGACACAAACGCTGTCCGCTGCCACTTTTCCGAGGCCCCAGAGCAGCAGCATCCAGAGACGGCAGTGGGAGGGGGGGTGGGGCTGGGGGAGGGGTGGGCCAGTGAGTGTCACACGGGACGGAGCTCCGGTGGGAGAACAGGGAGGCTCTGGAGGCGGTGGGGGTGATGCCGCCCAGGACTGCGTGCTCCAGGTCACTCACCGGCGATCGGCACGGCCGACTGCATGTGTGTGTGTGTCACCACAGCCAAGCCACTTCAGTGGCCCCTGCCTTCGTGCTCCCTCCGTGGGAACCCTCCCCGCCACGCTCTCCCACCACGCTCTCCGACTGCGGAGCCCGGGGCCAGGCGTCCCCGCTCTCAGGAAGCCAGCCCTGGTTTGTGCGCGGTCCTGAACCTGCGGTGGCTGTCCGGCTCGCCGACGCACACCGCGGCCTGGCCAGCGCCCCTGCCCCTGCCGGCACCCCGCCCCCGCCGCTTCCTGCAGCGCGGCGGACCAGACTCCCAGCAGACTCTCAGCCGGGCGAGACTGCTCACGGGAAAGGAAGGCCATTTCCTCAAAAGCAGTGTTTCCTTCTGACACTGCCGCGCCCTCGGAGGGGACAGAGTAACTCAGCACTTGGCCACATCCAAGTCCGCAGCCCGAGCGACAGTCTCCACAAAAGCCACAAGGATGGTGAAGACTGAAAAACAAACTTTAAAACTTTTCACGGCGCTTTTATTTTGAAAAACTAAATCCCTTGTAATCCTCTGAATTCTAACCTCTCAGCACCGCCCGTGACTTCGACCTCTGACCCCTCGCTCACGGTGCCGCGACCCCTCTCCCCGGGCCCCGAGGGGCCGGCTGCGCTCTGCACGCGCTCGGACGCCGCCTGGCCTCCGCTGCTGGCTGCTGTCCCTCGCCAGCTTGTCCCCGGTGGCAACGCCGCACCATCGGCTACCATCCCCACACGGAACGTCCCGCAGGCCGCTCACCGGGGCTCCTGCTCCCCCTTAACCCCGGGGCAGCCGTAGGGCCTCCCGCTCGCTGCGGGGCTCCTGCAGGCCGGCCCCTCCCTCGCCCCCCTCGCCCCCCACCACAGCTGGCCCGGCCCAGAGACTGGCCTCCCCGCCCGCTCCGCACGACCGAAGAGGCGTCTGTGCCCACGGAGCCCCCCAGCTGGGGCCTGCGCAGCGACCAGGAGGACACAGCGTGCTGACCTCCGCTGGACGCACATCTCGGACGAGAAGCGTCGCGCGCGAGGAACAGGCGCATGTCCGGACCCTGAGGTCTTTTGGGGTCGGAGCCACCGTCGGCCCTGTGACCCCCCCACCCCTCCCTGAAAGAGTCTCCCCACCCTCCCCGGGGCCCCAGACACAAGCGGTCCCTGCTCCTGCCCCCGCCGCTCCCAGACCTCCCGTCCCACGGCCGCTCACGGCGGCGTCACCCGCATCCCCACACCTTCCTCTTACAGCCTGGAGGACAATTGCATTTTACTGAGACTTTACCTTCCAGGGGGCTTTTACTCTGGTGGGGGGACGAGTTCACATGCTCTACATTTTGGTTGCTTCTCTTGCTCTGGTCACTAAAAAACAGAACAAAACACACGCCAGACACATCACTACCGGGAATTACTGGCATCCTTCGCTCTAAGGCAGAGAAAGGAAACGACATTGTCCGACCATCACGACGCACCACGTGCTGTTCCAGGGGCTTTAGTGCACGCCACTGAGCAGCGCAGTGCGGCGCCGAGGAGCAGTCACTGCCCTCCCCCCACAGCGGGCTGAGGCGCGGGGGTCGGACCGGCCTACCTAGTAATCCCAGTCCAAACCCCCCGTTACAGAGTCCCGGGCTCCCTTCTGCCCCAGGCCGTGCCGTCCCGTCCCGAAAGGGTCAGGAACTTACCTGCCCAAGAAAAGTTCCCCTGACCGTGTTAGCGAAACGCGAGCAGCTGATTGTTGCAAACCCGGCTTTTTAATGATGAAGGTAGTAAAACGGCTGGTCTCGAATCGAGACGTTTTAGATGCATTAAGAGCAGAAACAGCAGCTACACTGGCCTAAGACGCCAGCCTCTCCCGAGGCTGCGAGCACGTGTCTAGCTAGGGTCACGCGTCCGGGGTCATGTGTCCGGGGTCACACAGGGGGCGCACTGCGCTACTCCCAGCGATGCGGCGTGCTCAGGGTGACTGAGCGCACAGCTTGCACACTCGCGGAAGGAAGGCGAGTCTTCCACGGACCTGGGCCCAACGGTGGGAAGCCGCGCCGACCCACTGACCCGGGTGGCCGAGTCCGGGGCGGGACGGCGAGCACCGGGCAGAGCGAAGGACCGAACCACCAGCTGGACGCCTGGGGGCGCCCCGCCGGCGTCGGTGCTTCGAGCCCCGGAGCACACGCCCACCGCCCCCAGCGCCAGCCCGGCGGCCTGCTGCCACACTTCAAGTGCCCCCCCACTGCACGGATGGGGTTTTGGGAATCAGGAAATCACGATTAAAAACGGAAGACTGAAATATCAAATAACCTGCACTATCCTGGGTCTCCTGCCTGAGCTCTCTTGAGCTCAAGCTCCTCCTACGACTCCTGGCCGCAAGCTTGGAAAACCACCCCCGATAATAATTAACGAGAGAGCCTGCAGGGTGTGTGTGTGGGGTGTACGTGGGGGGGTCGCGTGTTACCTGGGGGAGGCCGCGCCTGCCAGGCCGCTGGGCTCCGGCCCGCTCCTGCCGCCCTCGGCGCCCGGGGAGTCCGGGTGGGCGGACCCGTTGCTGACGTGGTCGCTGCTCTCGTAGCCGGACTCAGCCCTCTGCCCCGGCCCGGCGTCGCCGGTGGGCCCCGTCTCCCCGAGGCCCCTGCCTCTCCCGGTGGTGCGGGTCCCGCCGCACTCCGGGGAGCCCCTGCTCCCGGCCTCCGGCCGCGGGTCGTCCTCGTAGATGGGGGTCAGGCACTGGGGCTGCGGGTCCTCGCTGGGCCACCGGTGGGAGCCCGGGTCTCGGCTGCATGCGGGCTTGGTGCCGGCTCCCGGCTGCCGTCTCGGGCTGCGCTGCCTCCTGTCCCGCTCGCTGAAAACGCTGTCCACGTTCAAGGTCTCTCTCAGCGGCTTCCAGCCCCGGCCCCGGCTCCTGCCGCTGCCGCCACAGCCGCTCCCTCTGTCCCGGGAGTCCTGGCTGCTGTCCGTGTCGTACCCGGAGGCGCCCTCGCCCCGGGCTCTGCCGGCTGCCTTCGGTCCTGCGGCCAGGGCCTGGGGCTGGCCTGAGCTCGGCGTCTGCGTGGCGGCGTGACTCGGCGCGGCCGGCTGGCCGGGCTTGCACGGGGCCTTCCCCGGCCTGTGGGGCGGGCGTGGGCTGCCGCCACGCTGCCTGACGCCCTTCGGGGTGGGAGGTGACCCGGACTTGGTCGGGGGCAGGTCTTCGTCGAGCACACCTTCAAAGGGCAGTAAGTCAACAAAGACACGCGTGAGCCGGTCTCCAGAGCCGCGCGGGGCCCCAGCCGACCACCTCCTTAGTGCTGGGGAGTCACGTGAAGCAGGGAGAGGTGAGTAGCGATGGTAAGTGCTTAAATTGCATCACAGCGCTCTGGGCTCTGAGATTGGACAGTGCTTCTCGAGTCCTAGGCTCGATGAGAGGCATTTATAAAACAAAGGCTTATATATTGATTTTTTTAAAAAGTGATCTGTACAGCAGATCACAAGACGGTTTTTTTAAAAAAGCAGTATTCCACTGCACTCATTAATGACAGTGATCAATGTAAAAACAAAAATATTTTCTATCTCTTTGCTGGAGGAACTTCAAAGGCCTGCTAAAGCAAATCCCTGTTGAGCGCATGAGGAAAAATGACCCGGTCACTACGTGGGGTGCAGATGGGTCTGGGTGTCAGGGGGGCAACGGAGCCTCAGAGTTCAAGCTCAAAGCAGACCTGCCCTAACGCAGCAGCTCCCCTGAAAGGTCCCACACCACGGCCACACCCACACACGACGTGCACCAGGTCCACCGTGGAAGGGGCCGCTGCCACGGGAACCTTACGCCAACACCTCCAGCCCCAGCCCCAGCCCCCACTGAACTCCGGTCGGTCCGGAAGGAGCAGGGCGGGAGCCCGCAGAGGGGATGGGCTCACGGCGGCCAGGACACCAGGGGTGGACGGGGACCCGAGGGGTGGGGGGTCAGGGGTCCAGGGAAACCGGCTCCCGCCCTCTGCCTGTGCCACCTTCCTCGCTGGTCGGATGCGCCAAGTGAGAGAACTGGAGCCGATGTTAATTACAAATTAAATAAAGCAACTTTGATCAACTTTCAATCAAAAACTTAAAACAGCAAAACGAAGACAGGTGTTTCAGGCTGGAATTCAACGAGAATGAGGAAAAATTTACCTTCGTGGATTTAATAGGGGTATTAGTGAAATCATATTAAAATGCATAATATATGAGCAAATACATGCAATAAATAGACTTAAAATGATGTTAAACTGAATTAGAGCCATAACCTTAGTTTTCAGGTCAGACTTGCGCAGCCCCTCCCCGCGGAAGCTGCTCGCCCCACCCCTTGCTCACCTGCGGGCCGGCCCGTGGCCCTCCTCTGCGGGGTGAGCAGGCCCCTGTGCTCCAGGGCCCTCAGCGCACACTCCCTGGAGATGTCCTTCATCCTCTCCCGCTGGTCGCTGCGGCTCAGCTGAGCTGGGAAAGGGAAACCGGTCTCTCAGTCATGGAGCAGGTGGCTTGCCTAACTGCTCGGTGAAGACACAAACTGCACTGGATGACATATTTAAGGTGTCACATTTTAAAGACAAAAAGCACATGAACGTAAACAACGAACTCGTTTTTCTGTGTAACTAAAGAAGGCAATGTGGTTCGCCCTGACCCCGGAGACGCAGAGTACCTCCTGGCTGTGAGGCGTCGAGCGCATCCAGAAGGGAAACGAGACGTCCCCCCCCCACACCGGGGCACGAGGGGCAGCGGGGAAGCGGAGGCCGCACCCCGGGTCCTCACTCGCTCCGCCCCACAGGCCAGCGCGGTTCCTCGCCATTTCGGGTCAGGAAACACACGTTAAAAACTCGCCCACGCCCGCGTTCCCATAGCCTGGAATGTAGAGGTCAAGGGGTCTGGTTCCACAGTTTGTGTTCTCAAAGGTTCCTGGGCTTAGAGCTAGGTCTCTCTCTAGGAAAACAGAGGGCGGCCTGACCCAGCAGTTTTCAAGCAGGTGCCCCAAGAACTTGAACACATGCAGCACCTGACTACTTACTTGGTCAGGGGCACTGACCTCGTCCCCTAGGCTGCCACATTAAAAAGCGACCACAGCCACCACGGCATTCGCCGCCCGGAGTCCTGCTGCCCTGTCCTGACCCACAGGTGCACAGGCCATGTGGCAAAGTTGCACCTTCTCGGTCACCTCACATAGTAAGATGGCACCTGCTCAGGTAGTTGTTGGTGCCAGGAATCCTGGTATACAAATGGAGGCACCTGGCTTTTTCAAAAGTCAATTTGGAGCAAAAACGGTAGGTTATTACTATTATTACTTTTTTATAAATCAAGATTATATCTATTTTTTGTCGGATCGGCAAGAAATGGAACATCTGCTGGGCCACAGACCTGAGTGATCGGCTTGTGCACCGCCGCGAGGTGACAAAGGGCGACGGGCACAGCTCCAGGGACAGTGTCACAGCGTTTCCGGCGCGCCTCCGTCAGTGACTCTTAATCCCGAACCTTACCGCCCGGGACATGCGATCTCATGAACACAGTAAAAAGCTGCTTACGAAATCACCCGGACCCCCACCCGAGGGGGGCTCAGCGTGCTTCCGAACTGCAACTGCGCACTGCGCTGTGGGGTGTCCCCCGGCCTCCCTCGGACTCGGCTGGGGGGAGTGGACGGGGCAGGAGGGCAGCAACAGGGGCACCCGGGGGAAAGGAGGCCAAGGGCAAACCGCAAGGGCGACTTGGACGGCCAGCGCACTTGCTGACGCGTTTCCCTTGGGCGCAGCAGCCCCATCACGGAGTCCTGCTGGTCCCCTGTGGGTCCCCTGCGGGCTGGTAAGGACACCCTGAGGGAGAGGCCACGGCGCTCTGGGAACAGTCCCCACGGCCTGCAGCCTGCAAGGCTCGGAGAGCGCGGTGGTGCACCTCGAACCCTGGGCGAGTCACACCGCCCCGATGAAACCACAGTCTCAGGCGCGCGTGCGGAGGGAGAGACTCAGTCCTGCCGCCGGCCTGTCTGTCTCCTCGTGGCCCCCGCCAGGCCACAGGCCCAGTGGGGGGGGGGGCGCCCGGCTCCCAGGGACACCCTGAAGCCACGATGCACACACGTACCTGCTCCTCTGCCGCCGCTGGTCTGAAGGTGGCTCCGGCCACACGAGGAGATGCCATCTGCCTGGAATTTCTGATTTTCTCTCTGTCTGGCCTGCTCCCCAAGTCCATTTTCTTTCAAATGATCTGACTTGTAAATTGAAGGCTTCTCACACCCTTAAAAAGAAAACACAAAAATGCATCATCCCTTTCTTCTCCTGGAGAGGAGATGTTTGAATCATCTTTTCAGACATGTTTAATGCTGAAGACAAAATCACTTAAGAACCTAGCGGCCTGACACCTCCCGAGGGTTTCTGCGTCACCCCCGGGGCCGGCTGCTGGGCGCCTCCCCTGAACTGACTCCCTGTGGCTCTCCACGTGCACGGCCGGAAAAGCCGGCAGCCCGTGGCCCCTCTGAGCTTGCGTGGCCACAGTCGGAGTTGGCTCCTGCAGGCACCTCCGAGGCCTCGGATGAGGAAAGATCACAAAGGTTAACTGGAGACTGGCGTTTTCCCGAGAGCCACCTTCCACTAAATTCTGAAACTTCCCTGGACATGCACTTTATGCTCGGTAGATCAGCACCCTGGTGTGACTGTGATGGTGGGAAAACACCAAAGTAAAAAAATAAAAAAAAACACGACTTACCCGCGTCTTCCGCAGCGGGCCCGTGCGGGGGCCGGCTGACGACGCGCCGGAGCGCGTCCTCGGTGGACACGGCCGTGCCCTCGGGGTTGGCGTAGAAGAGCAGCAGCGGCTGCAAGTGGCAGCGCAGGCACTTGGAGGCCACGTCCTTCCACCTGGCGCCGACCTGCGGGGGCCGCGGCGGGGAGAGAGCCGTCGGTCCCCGGCCGGCGCGCGGCACGCGAGCGAGGGCAGAGGCCGGCTGGGTCCGCACGTAAAAACTCATAAAGACACTCAGAGGCCAGCAGTTCAGCTCCCACTGTGTTATACGACTGGCTGTTTTATTTGGTAACTAATCGAAATAAAAACCCTTTAAACGTCGATGGGCAAAATTACATGCTCTCTGTTGTCGAGATTTAGGTTCGTGAATTTTAGAAAGCTTTGCAAAGCTTTCTAAATGCATGTTCCCACGGACTTTCGACAAAGACTCTGAGGCAGTTCAGTGGGAAAGTAGAAAAGCTGCTTCGACGAACGATGTCGGAGCAAAGGGGTGAAGAAGAGACCACGAGACGACCCCCCGGGGTGCCCGAGGACTGGCCCGGAAGGAGCCCCCCCCCACCGGACAGCCACGGCGCCTGCGGAGGGAGCAGAAGAGAGAGCCTGACTTCCGGGGGGGGCGTGGGGCGCGGACGGGGGTCAGACTTTCCGCCGTGGGACCTCACACCAACCAGAGAGAGAAGTTGTAAAGTTCCTGCTCCGGGAAACACGCCGCTGGGAAGACGAGACGGCAAAGCCGCGTGCACCTAACAAAGGCCTGGCGGGCAGAATGCAGGATTCCCACAGCCCCCGGGGAAGAGCATCCAGCTTGAAAAAGGGGCAAACAGGCCACCAGACCTCGCCGAGGGGACGCTGAGAACGGCCGGCAAGCCCGGGAAAGCTGCTCCGTGCCCCGACTGTCACTAATCTTGAGGGGAACGCTGGGGAGACCCCAGAGTCCCAGCACAACGCTGAGCCCCTGGGGGCTGAGGAGCGCCACCCCAGGGCGCCGCCGGGTCAGAGCCACTGCCCGGAGGGACGGAGGGACGGACGGAGGGACGGAGACCGGCGCAGGCGCGAGGACGGGAACCCGTCCCTTGTGCGGCCGCGTTTCTGGCAGTCTGTCCAGCCACACCAGCCAGCGTGGCCTCGCCGAGCTCCGGTCCTAGGTTCCGCCACCCCGTTGACGCAGTTATGCGCCTACCGTGTCGTTACATCGCTGTTCCGGAACACCATCGCTGTGTCACTTCCTCCCGCAAGGAAAACCCACGCAGCTACCCCAGCCCGCGGCCGGGCCGCCCGCTCACCTCCTTCACGTTGGCGTCGTCGAAGAACACCCACTTGGCGCTCTTGGTGTGGAAGGCGAAGGCGCAGTAGTGCCGGCTGGCGTAGCAGATCACGCCGACCAGGTCGAGCTCGCTGTTCCTGGCGTTCTCGTCCGTGACCCTGTAGAAGAGCTGTTGGAAAGGGAGTGACATGCCGTCAGCGCGGCGGTGTTTAGGGAGGAAGTAACGGCCATTCAGCACCGCCCGTCTGACTCCCACAGACGCCTCTCCCGGGCGCCGGCCCACCCGTGTGCTCCACTGGGGGAGACGCCGCCGCGGCCACCGCGGTGACCGCAGAGTCACTGCTTCGAATTGTCCCCGAGACACATGCATGAACTCGCTGAATTTAGTCCCCCAACGTGGTGGCTCCAGCCGCGCAGGGCTCATGTGTGACAGATGTGAACTCACATGTTACATGTGTGAACCTACATGTTATAGACGTGAACTCACACATTACATAAGTGAACTCACATAGACGTGAGCTCACAATGGGAGACAAATCACAGTCATTTTCCGATAACTCTCGCCTGAATCACACCTATCTGAGCTACATTAGTCGCGTCACCTAAACCACACTTCCCTCAAGGTTTAACTGTAACACAGACCAATCCGAAATACGCTGACAAGCCAAGAGGAGGTGGGCGGTGCAGGCGGACTTCCCATCTGCGGCCCTGCCGGCCGCCACCTGTGTGCACACCACGTCGCCGCCACGCCGGGGTGACGGGAGACGCCCGGGCGACCCCAGCCCAGCCCAGCCCGGCCCGAGAGGCCTCCCAGTGAGCCCAGCCGGGGCGGCTCCACCCGAGTCACGCGAGAACACCGTCTCCTTCAGAGCGCAAGCTCAGTCCGGAGGACCCCGGGGCGGTGTCGCCCCCCGCAGGCGCGCCAGGGAGATTCGACCGCGGAAGCGCAGGGCGCGGAAGGGGCGAGGTACCCCGGGGAGGTGCAGGCGCGTGGCCAGGCTCCGCACGACGTCCTCCGTCAGGTCCGAGTGCTCCGAGTCCCAGACCAGGCCGATGGTGACGATCTCGGGGCAGTTCATGAGGACACGGCGGATCTTTATTTTCTGGCCGCAGTTACTCTGAGGAGACACACAGGACGCAAGGCCTGACATGAGCGAAGCGGACATTCCACGGGCAGCCCTTGTTCCGTTTGCAATGCGCAGTGACGGTCGCAACATGCGCGGGAGGTTTGTTTCCTTGGCATGTGAAAACGCACTTCCAATGGACAATTTCTCTTGTTCACCGATTAAACTGGAAGTTTATTTTAAATCAAAGTGCTTTTCTTTGGCATTTTTGTAAATCTGTTAAAACAAGGATTCAGCCTAGAAAAATCAGAAATACAACCCTTGAAATCATTAATAATATTACATCAGAAAAGAACGATACCATTTGTAGAGTTTACAGAAAAAAGACTAAATTAACTTTGTCCTTGGTCAAATGGTAAAATGTCAGAATTTAACAAACGAACTTGCACAGCCTTAAACCCTCCACCGCGGCATCACGAGGTGGTAAAGAAAGTGCCGAGTGGACGGCTCGCGCGGCACAGCCGCCTGGGGGAACGTGGCAGAGAGGAGCCCTCGGCCGGGGGTCCCGTGCGTGGGTCACCGGTGTTGGCGCCACCACCTCCGGGGGCCGTGCGAGCCGCACACAGCGCAGACCGAGGTCTCCTTGCGGGACGGGGACGGGACTTACGGGGCACTTCCTGTAGTCGCCGGCCGTGTGGGCCGCCTGCAGCAGCTCCGCGAACAGCTCAGGCCTGCAGCGCTCCTGCCGGGCCAGCGTCCTCTCCACCTCGTGGCTGCGGAAGAGAACGCGGTCCAGACCCCACCCGGGCACCCAGAGGTGGTCTGAGGGGTCGTGCACGGACAACGCTAGGCAGTCGAGCTGGGGTCACTCGTTTCTACCTTAAACCACGATCGTGTGTAAAAAAATAACACCAACTTCCATCACGGGAAAAACCATGAAATCGGGCAGGTGTATGATGAGAAATCAGGTCAGGGGTACAGGAACACAAAAGCCCCGCCCCTTTGGGAACTGCATGGATGCGGTGCACGGTGCTCTGCCCACAGGCCTTTCCACGTCAGATTGTTCTCCTACGTTGTTACTTACATTGTTGCATAAGGGACCCGAGTGTGACCTTGGGCCGACCAGAACAGTGAACCGCAGGAAAGGCCCCCACTCTAGCCCCCCGCTCCCAGAGACAGTCGGCCCCCTCTCTGGGAGAAGAGAAGGGCCCCCTGCTGGCGAACAGGAGCCCGGCCGGGCCGTCACCCCTGTGGGCACGCCGACCCCTTCACCAGGGCCTGCAGGGTGTGTGTGCCGAGTTTCACTCAACACCCCCCACTGGAGGCCACCTCTTACATACCAGGGTCCTAAGTGTCTTTTTACCCTATTTACTTGTTTATTTAAGGGAGGGGGGCGGAGGGAGAAAGAGAAACGTCAGCGTGAGAAACAAATACCATTGGCTGCCCCTCGTGCGCGCCCTGCCTGGGGACCAAACCCGCAACCCGGGCGTGCGCCCCGGCCGGGGATCACACTGGTGACCTTTGGCTCTGTCGACGACCCTCAGCTGAGCCACCCCTGAGGCCAGGGTCCGTGCTGAGCACCCTTCGTCCAACAAACACTGAAACGTTTCCAGACGGAAGTGTGACGCCAGCTCCGCTGCCCTCACTAGTTTCCGCTCCAGGGGCCCGGCTCTCCCTCCGTGTGCGAGGGCCCCAGAGCGGGCTGCTCGCCCGGTTCCGAGGTTCCGACTGCGCACAGCACTGGACCGCCAGGGGGCCAGCCCTGGCGCCGGCGCACTCCGCAGGGCGCGAGAAAGCCCCGAGGCTGGCGGGCCCGGTCGCCCGGCCGCCGCGGGAGTGGGGGTAGCCAGGCAGACGCTGCAGGTAAAGGGAGCCAGGCCTGGATCTCCATGTCCGTGGCTCTAGTTGCCACACCAGACTGCGCCCTCACTGAACCTAGTTCTTCACCGACGAAAGGGCGTTTTTGCTGAGGGTAAAGTGACAATTCATGCAAGGCCTGGGACGCAGGGAGCGCCCAAGAACGGGTGCTCAGAGCGTGTAAGTGTGAACACGCGGAAGTTTGGACTCACATCCTGAGCACTCCACCAGGTGCCCCAGGTGTCTGCCGCACTCGTAACCCCCGACTGAGACAGACACACTTGCACTTCTGGGTGGCCGTTGGTCAGCCCCCCACCCTGCCCAGACGGGGGCAGACACGCACGCAGGCCCCGGCTCACAGGACAAAGCGCGGCGGGCCGAGAGGCGCACTGGGCCGAGAGGCGCACTGGGCCGCGGGCGGAGGCGACCGCTCCCGGGGCCTTACCACAGGGCCGTCGTGGAGATGTACCGCACGAACTCCGTGAAGGGCAGAGGGTCCGAGGAGGCCCCGCAGCTGCGGCACACGCACTGCGGCGAGAACAGGCGCTTACGTCACGGGCCGCGGGCACCAGCGCGGCGCCCCGGGGGTGGGCGGGCCGGCCGGGCGCTCACCTGCTCGTACAGGGTCATGGCGAACTTCTGGTGCGTGACGCAGCACTTGGAGGTGCACAGGTCGGCGTCCCCGCCCGGCACGATGTGCGAGTGGATCCGCTCCAAGATGTTCTCCTGGTTCGGGAACCGGCGGCCAGTGAGTCGGGAGCCCGGCAGGCAGAGGACACGGCCAACCACAGCCCCGCAGACTTAAAAACCTCCCAGAGGTCCCCGGCGCCTTAGACCAGGGGCGCCCTCCATATCAGTAGTACGCTTTCCTACTTCATCGACCCTCCGAATCTTGTTCAATTGTTCACTAGCTGTGGCATTAGCTTTCTAAAAAATTAGCAAAAGGAACATTATAACGTAATGTACGGTGTTAAGAAAGATTTTTTAATCCCTTTAAAAATCAACCATGGTGGCTGACATTTAGGACTTAGTATTAGAAAACCCGGTTCCTATGTTCCCAGCATTCTCACACAGCTAGAAGCTGCTAACGTAAAGAAACCACCCCCCCGATCGCGTGGATAATCCACGTGACGCGCACCAGCCACCGATGACCGATACCAGTGCCAACACCTGCTCTGACCGCCCAGCGCAAAGAACGCGCCCTGCAACAGCTCTCACGTGGAAGCTCAGCTCTCAACACCCATCGATAAGGGGCGCTTATTTCTTCAAAGATCAACTCTCGGTTCTGTGGCAGCGGGGACGCTGGCCCCTTCTAACGGCCCACCGCCCCTCCTCCGCCCCAGGACGAGCAAGGACGCGCAGCGATTTCAGCCTGGAGAGCCTCCACCCTGCATGCGCCATCACCGCGTTCCACGGCAGCCGAGTGAACTGTTCATCGCAGTGTTGTGCCCAGTGTTGCGCTTGTTGACACGTGAAGCGCTGGGTCAGTTTTACAGCGGAGAAGTGTGAGAAGCCACTTCACGGCTGTGGGTGCTGTTCCGGCGCTTTACCCAGCACGGGGAGGGCGGCCCCACCATGCCTGCCGCAGGGACGGCGAGGTGCCCACGAGGACCCACCACGAGGTCCCTGAGTTCCGTAGGGACCCACCCCGGGGGACCCTACGGAACTCCGAGGACCTGGAGGCTGCCCTCGTGCGCCCCCCTGCGGGCACCCGCAGGCCGAGCCCGCGCCGCTGACCAGGTCTGAGACGCTGCGCCTCGTCCCGCACGAGGGCAAACCCTGCAAACCCTGCAAACCCGGCGCGGAGCCGTCTCCCTGGGAGGGAGGGCGCGGGCCGAGGGTCAGACGGAGCCTGGACGCGAGTCCCAGGGCCCCCTCCCCGAGGAGCATCCTGTGAGGGCGGGAACACTGGGCGGGACGGGGTGCAGACCCGAGGGACTCTGGGAGGAGGCCCGGCTGGGGCCCGCGGGGACAGGCGGACGGTCAGACGGGGAACCCGCCCGCACGGGGCTCAGGGGAGGGGCCGGCGGAAGGTGCCGGCCAGAGGCAAGACTACGGAAGAGCCGGCTGCATCTCCAGCGCAGGCGGCACCTGCGCCACTGAAACGTTTCCCGGTCTGCCGCATGCGCACTTGCGCCGGCCCGGTAAGGGTGGGGGCGGGGCAGGATACCAGCCTAAGTGATACTGTTTAACTGAATAAAGCTTTTCACTCCCATAAATACACTTTAAAGCATTCTGGTAGCCTACCATTCAGTAAAACTTGGCACAGCTCGGAGGTCGGGGAGCGCAAGGGCCCTGCCCCCGCCCAGCGGTCTGACCCTCCTCCTCCCTGCGCGTCACCGCGGGCTCGGGCTCAGGCTCAGGCTCGAACCACGCCCCGCAGACCATGCCCCGCACCCCGCAGACGCCCGCGGAGGGCCGCCCGAGCCCGCGCTTACGAAGCACTCGGCCGCGTCGTCCATGAGGCCCAGCTGGAACCTGTGCTCGTCCCGGAAGCTCTCGGCCAGGGCGCGCCGCACGTTGTCCGACGGCAGGGCCTTCTCGCGGCTGTGCTGGAACTGCGCGAACATCACCTGCAAACCCGCGGGCACGTCCGTGAGCTCCGCGCCCGCCGGCAGCGGCAGGAGCGCGTCCACAATCTCACCGCCACAGGGCGACAGAAACCACCACACTCGCAGACCACCCCCGGCCCCGCTTGTCGCCCTAAAACTCCACACTCAGGCCGTGCGCCGAGACGGCTGGCTGGCCTCTGCAGCAGAGGTGGCACCCGAGCAGCGCTGTCCCCTGGGCAGGCCGGAGGTGAGGCCTGCTCCCCAGCGGGTTCTGACGCAGGTCCCGGGACGTTCTGAGATAAGCTGCTTTGAATGTAAAAGGGGGCCACGGGAATTAAAATTAGTTAACCGAAAATAAACATCTGATCACAGGAAAGTCAGTAGGAACTCGGCAGTCCCAGCACGCGTTGATAAAATCTCAGTTCAACAACGTGCAGGAGTGGCCGGCACAGACCGGACTCCCTGCTCTGCCCGCCTTCCGGCCTCTCTGCTCCCAGCGCCGGAGGCGGAGCTCGGGCCCCACCACCAGCCCTGGGCTCCACTCCACTCGACCCCGACGTCCCCCACCGCTCGGGACAGGGCCTACAAGCCCCCGTGACCCGGGCTCTGGTTCCGGCTTTTTACTCCTCCGCCACGAAGAGCCCCGACACTCGGCCCCTAAAACCCAGCCCAGAGCACAGGCCTGCCCTGCGGGGGAGGGCAGCCGCCCGGCCGCACGCTGACTCCCCGGGGACCTGGGCTCGTCTGGGGGCCGCTCACTGACACCCGGTGGCTGCCCGTCTGCCTGTCGGCCAGGACCTCGGGCCAGCCTGGCTTCCTCACCGGATGGCACCGCCTCTGGGGTGACCGCGGGACGGATGGAGCCGGGTGGGGCTCCAGCACCTTTCTTAGGAAGCTCCCCTCACGCCTGCAGCCCGGGGGCCGCCGCCCTGTGCCCGGTGGGAACCAGTCAGAGAGGCCAGCCCCACGCAGGGACCGGGCTGGCCCCGCTTACGGGAAGAGCGCGGGGGCCCTGCAGACACATCCCAACCACCAGGACGCACCTCACCTGGGCCCCGCGCCCTGCCCCACCTCGTTCACCAGGCCGCTGGGGCTGGTTCCCCAGGCGGCAGCACCCCACGCCCACCTGGGCCCCCCCCCCACCTGCCTGGAGGCTCCGCCCACGCGGTCACCCCGCCCAGCCCATAATGTCAAAGTCACTCTCAGTGAGGCGCCCCGCTCCCGGCTGGCTCCTCTCTCGCAGCCATCAGCGTCTGACGCCCTCTCTACCTTTCTCGCTCGCGTCTCCTCCCCCAGGGGCCTGTGAGCGCCGGGAATCGGGTTGGCACCAGTCTCGTTCACTGCTGTTTCCTCGGCGACCAGGAGCCAGCAGGAGCTCAAAAACCACTTGTTAAAATAATTTCAAAATAATACAAAAGCTAATGTTCCTAACAACTGTGTGCCATCTAGACACTAACTGTCCTAGGAAAGTGAAAAATGAAAACATGAACCCGAAGAAGCCACACATTACGAGTTCATCTTCAAAACTGTAAATCACTCCACGATGAACTTCCATGACACACGAGACGGTGGACTGTGTCCCATAAATCAAACACGCCCTCAGGCGGGGCCACACCCCTGCGGGAACCCCTGCGGGAAGGCGTCCCGGGCCCAGGGCGCCCAGGACCCAGGGCGGGGCGCGGTTACCTTCAGCGCACAGAAGATGCAGGCCTCCCCCTGGCAGACGTGCCCGGTCAGCACGCGCAGGCTCCGCCGGAAGATGTCCAGCTGCCACAGCACCTGGGGCACAGAGGTGTGGGGAGAGACAAAGGGAGGGTGAGACTTCACTCTCCGGGACGAGCGACCCACGCGTCCTTCCAGCTGCGGTTGGGGGCGGGGACTAACGACTCCGCCCACCCCGTGGACGTGCGCGGAGGCGCACGGTGAGAGAGCAGCAGCAGCAGCAGGGCCCACGTGGCCGCGCGCAGCGAGGGCGCCTCCAGCAGCTGATGGGGGCGTGGCTCCTGCCGACTCGCACGTGAACACCGGACAAACGTGCGTGCAGCAAGACACACGCGCTCCTCGGGCGAGGACGCCCCAGGGGCGGGGACCTGGGGAGCCGACTGGAGGGCTTGGTGGGGGCACGGGGGAGGCAGCGACTGTGGCCCTGGGGACGAGCTGGAGTTCCGAGAGGAAGCACAACGGCAGTTGCAGCCGGGGTGCAGCCGACAGGGGCGGGCGAGGGGCTGGGGGGAGCCGAGGCGGGTGGTCCCCGAAGAAGAGGGGGCTGGGGCTGCCCACATGGCAGCAAGGGAGGGGCAGCCCGAGGGACCACCGTAACAGCAGGCACCACAAAGCAGTACACGAAGCAGTGGCTCCCAGGCCCCGGGTGGACGAGGGTCCCGGGTCACTCAACGAGCATCGTCCTGCACACGCGTCACAGCACTGGATGCAGCGGGGCCTCCCGGCCGGGGAAGAACCGGGATAGACGCCGTGCGCGCATCCACACCCTCCCAACTCAACGGCTCCTCGGTTCCCCCCCCCCCACAGAGGGCGACCGAGAGCGCGCGCCCGAGTCCGCAGCCTGGGCGCCCGGCGGTGCTCACTTCACGGGTGAGCTCGCCCGCCCGCCGACACTGGTCTCCCCGCCCCAGGTCTCCCTCCGCGGGGAGAACAGCGCTGGAACACCCGTGTGGACGGGTGTGTCCGGGACAAACTCTTCCAAGGTGTGTTCTAGGGTCAACAGAACACTCCCCAGGGCTGTACGTCCTCTTCGCCCCAAGCGGTGGTGGGGGGACACGGGGTCCCACGGAACCCAGAGCCGGCGAGCGGCGCTGCGTCAGACGCCGGAGAGGACGCGCCCCCGAGACAGAGCGCGGGGCAGACGCTCGCTCGTCATGGGGGCTCCCACGGGGGCTGCAGCAGCGCGGACTGACCCCCCGGGTGAGGACGCCGGGGGTCCGGGGGCTCGGGCACTGCTCCGCGGGGCGGAGGGAGGAAGGCGGGAGGGAGTGCCCAGGCCAGACACCGCCGTCTCCTTTCACCCGAGAACTCAGGCTGTCTGCGGGGAGCACCCCCCCCCCGCCCCTCCCGCTCTCCTCTGTTAAAAAGTGTGTGAGGGGGCAGGGGGTAGATTAGCTGATTCAAAACAAGATTATTTTACAAACAACCTTAGTGTCCTAAGTAATCATCATAAATCAAACGGTACTTTTACGTCATACTAACATGATTCTGTTGGGAAAAAACAATGCCGTCAGCTCTGATAACCGAACGCCCAGCATTCCCCCACCGTTACAAGTGATGATAAAGTCTCCTTCCCGCCGGCGGTGACTTTATTCCCAACAGGCGCGGCGAAGAACCACTGGCAGAGACCCCCCCACCCCCCCCACCCCCGGACAGCACCTGGCGCCCGGGCGACAGACGCGGCCTCACCTGCACGGCGCTGTTGAGGAAGCAGCTGTTCTGCCCCGGCTCGTTCAGCAGGCCCTTGGTGGGCGCCAGTGACAGCACGCTGCCCGGCTGGTACGAGCTCGCCAGGTTGCCGCTGGGCTTCCGCAGGAACCGCACCCACGCCATGCCCGCGCGCGGCGGCGGCGGCGTCCGCATGAATGAGAGCCGGCCGCTCTAGACCGCCGTGCTGTCTCCCGGGAACCGGGGGGCGTCTGGGCCTGCCCACTCAGACTCTCCGCCGCCCATCACAACCACGGCCGCCGCCGTCCGGGCTGCGGACTTCCTCACGTGAGAACGGGGCGCGGGAACGTCCAGCGTGGGAAACTAGGGGCGGCCATTTGAAACACGGCCTCAGAGATTTTTACGTGTTAAATTTTAGAAGAGATTTGTACAGACTGAAATGAAAGAGGTTTTCCCAAGCTGCTGAAAGTAACGTCGGTGGATAAGTCATCGTCTTTCAAGCTCCGGCCATCAGTCCTGCGGGCGCGTGGCTGGTCCTCCGGCCGCCGTCTTCCTGGCGGTCTCTCCCCAAGAAAGGCAGCCCCTCTCCGGTGACTGCGCGACTCCGAGTTCCGTGTCCGTGTGGCCGCGAGGCACCTCTGCGACAGAGAAAAACGTGCACGTGAAGGTGAAAGCCAATCGAGAATCCCCTGCTTTCCTCTTGGAACGTGAACACCGGACACATATTTAAAACGTTGACCATGTACTCATAGAAGGATTAGAGCTAATGTTCTAAAGTACGAGAATGAAAACACGGTTCGTCATTAAAAACGTTTAAATGTCACTGTCACACCAACCACCGCAGAAAGCAAGCCGCCTGGTGTTAGCACCCGTCACGGAAAAGGTGAGGGGCGAGGAGGCGCAGACCTCCAGGTGTAGGAGACGTCACGCACAGGTGGCAATGGCGCAGGGAATGCGGTCGACAACAGCATCGTGACAACAGCATCACGACAGTGTTGCAGTAACACAGGACTGGCAAGGCGGGTCACAGCACCGGACCACGCAGACAAAGTGGCGTCTCCCAGACACCTGCTTCCCTTCCGCAAGTCTGGGATTTTGATCCGTCCTAGACAGAGGGTGCCCGTGTGACCACCGATAAAAGCCCGGGTCTCTCAGGAGCCTCCTGGTGGGCGACATTCACATGTCATCACAACGTGACGCCGAAGCAGTGGCACGTTCCAGGTGGACCCACTGGGAGAAACTACCGGAAACTCGTGCGTGGTTTCCACCAAACCTCCCCCCACGACCCTTCTCCACTCTCTGACGGCTTCATGGCCTTTCTCTGTCGTTCAGCATGGGAGTGAGTCCAGCGACACCCCAGACAAGGGAGGGGGAGGGGGAGAGGGAGGGATCTGGGACCACCCACACAGGGACCCAGAGCTACTTTGTTTCTGTCCAGGGGCAACACTTACAAGTAACCCCCTGGGGGGAGGGATGGAGCCCACCCCCCCCCCGCACTTTCCTTTCTTGTTGACAGACGTGAAATGTAATGTCTACACCCTGCTACTCTGTGGCTATATTGTAGCAACCTGGCAACAACTACTAAAATTAAAAGCAAACACACTTCCATCTAAACACAAAAACAAACAAAACAAACAAAACACTGAAAAGCCAACACTGACAACCCATGCCCCCGAAGCAAGAGCACTGGACTGAGATGCATCGGCAGGCGCGTGGGACAGGAAGGACACAAAACCGGCGTCCACGGACAGGAACGTCACACAGCGGGAGGCCTCTGAGACAAAGGCGAAAGGCAGGGACGTAGCAAGGTCCCGTTCTGGTGAGACAACAGGTGTGGAAACACAGACCTGTCTGAGAGCACCAGAACAAGGGCAGTGTGTGCGCGTCTGATTACAGTGGGCTCGGACAGTCCAGCCAGAAAGTAGGCGCGGGGAAAAACCCCACGAACTGGGGTTCCCACGACCACCTCCACGGTCCCCCTGAACGTGCCAGCACGGCTCACGGAGCTCAGAAGGGAACAGCTCACCGGCTGGACTTCAGGCTTACTAGGAGAGATGTCACTCGGGCACAGCCCGCTGGAAGAGGGGCGCGGGGCGCGGGGCGCAGGTAGGGCCGGGAGCTGGGGCCCTCCGCAGACATGCGCCCTCCCGCGCCCTGACCCCCCCGTGCTCCCCACCCCAGACTCACAGGCCCTCAGTGACTGACCCAGCGCCCTCCACCTGCCCCTCCCTGGAGGCGGAGGGGGCTGGAAGTCCACTCCTCTCATCACACGCCGGTTCCCCGGGCAGCCAGCCCCACACTGAGGCTGCCCAGAGGCCTGGCACCGGGCACCTCGTCCCCACACTAGAAACACGTACCGTTTCCCAAGACTCCAAGGGGCTCAGAAGCCGTGGGATGGGACGCGGGGCCAGAGGCCAGATGCCTCCTCCCTGCACGCCTCACCCGCCCGCCGCCTGACCCCTGCCGGTCTCCCTGCCCTTTCCCCACCTCGGCGCCTGCGCCCTCGGCTGCAGGGCTATCACGGAACACGCCGTGCGAAACCCCGCTCTGCGGCCTCTGCCGCCCGGCACTCCTCCGCCCGGAGTGCACTCGTCCTTGACACCCACATGGCCTCTCCCTGGGCCCTTCCTGCCGCTCTGCTCTGCAGGAACCAGCTTCCCGGTGACGCCCCCACGCCCCTCGCCCCTCTGCTCCTCCCCGCCCCTGCATTTACTCTGCAGCAGCTGCACACCGCGGGCTGACTGTCTGCGCACTGTCCTGTCTGCTCCCCGTCCGCGTGGCCCACCAGGTGAGACCCTGGAGCACACGGCGGGTCCTCGCTGAGCGCTTGCTGGACAGAAACTCGGGCGGTGAAGTGAGACCCCCCTGACGAGCCCTCTGAAGTCAGCGTTCCCCCCGGAGACGGCCCCGCGCTCGGGGTCCAGGACTGCCCTGTCCGCCTGGCGGCGAGGTCGGGGTCGGCGTGGACTGGCATGGAGGCTGGGCGATCTCGGCCCGCGTAGCAGCCCCACAGAGGGGGACGACCCCCCCGCCCCAGGACCCAGACAGCCGGCTCATCTGAAAACGGTGTTGGGGGTGGCGGGGGGGGGGGCGTGCCGAGAGGGGCCGGGGTCACTGTGCAGGCGGGGGGTCTCGGGGGAGCCAAGGTGAAGAGTGTCGGTGGGGTTCTGGTGGCCCCCGACACAGATGGAACCCGTGCTCCGATGCTGCGTCAGGACGCCCCAGGCACGTCCCCCACCCGGGTCGGGGGTCGGGAGCGCAGCAGAGACTCGGCTCCTCAACCCCTGACGCAGGCCGCCCTCATCCGGAGTCTCCGCTCACACAGAAGGGGCCCGGAGTCACGGCGGGAGTCACACGGCGGGAGTCACAAACCAGGGACCGGTCAGGCACCTGACACGCCCGACACCCGGCAGGCGCGCTGGACCCGCGAGCCTGTGCGACAACAGTGGCGGCACTGGCTGCGGTGTGAGATCGGTTTAACCACACGAGCCGACATTCGAGTCATGGGAGCAGCCATGTGACGTGACGTTTCACACCCCTCTCGCCATCCTCCCGCAGCTCCTGACGCCGCTGCCTCGGCCCGACTGCAGCCCCTCCGGCCTCCGCGGGGCCGGACAAACCGCACACGGAGCATCGGTGTCCGAATCTTGGGGTCATTCTCAGTGGGAAATGAGCAATGTCACGTAGCGAGCTACACATACTCTCAGGAAACTTAACGTGTGGAAAGTTCTCCTCTACACAACACTGTTTGGGAATGCTCCCTGCCCAGCTGGGTGTAAGCACTCCTGTGCCGGCTGCACCCGAGGAGGGGCGCTGAGCTGGAACCCCGAGGCGACGCATCCGAAACAGGCGGGCGCGCTGGGACGTTGGCACAGAAGCAACAGGGAAGATTTAATTCAGAAAAAGCCAACCTACCCCAGCCCCCCGCCCCCTCCCAGGGGTGGATGTCAGAAACTGTGGGCAGTACCGAACGCTGCATCCACTACGGTTTTTCCTGCACGAGCTCACCTCGGGTGAAGTTTAACTGGTAGGTCAGGCCCCGTGAAAGACCACCACTACCACCAACAGAGACGTCACACACTGCAGGAGACACTGCGTGAACGTGCCCGCTCTCCCCCTCGGGAACCAGCATGCATTGTTACTCCTTCACGACCTCACGGACGCGGGGCTCCTCCTCACTGCGGAGTCAGCGGCCTCACAGCCCAGGGAGGCAAGGAGGTCCACCGCTCACTGCGCACCCGGAGGGGGCACCGCCGCTTCTCTTCCGTGCGCGTGTGCGCCCGCCCCGCCTGCCCGCACCGCTGCTCCCCCGCCTCGGGGGCGTTGCTGAGTGCACCGAGGGGGATGAGCACACGAGCGAGCGCGGCGGTCCCGGAGCAGTGGGAGCGACACCCGACGGCGGCTGAGTGACCAGCGGGCAGGGGACACCTGCAGCGCGGGGACGCTGAGCCAGCGGCGGAGACCCTCCGGGACCGCACTGGACAGGGCGCGACGTCGGGCTGCCCAGCACAGTGCACGACGAAAACTCACCAACTGTTCCTTTCTGGAGTTCTCCATCTAATGTCCTCAGGCTGAGGCTGACCGCGGGTTAACTGAGAGGGGGAAGCAAAAGCTGCAGATGGGGGGCGGGGGGCTAGGACCCGTAAAGCTTTTCAGAAACATCCCTGCAAACAGCTTTAACGATGATTTAAAGTCATAACTGACACGAAGATTCCTCCAGCCACAAGAACATAAGGAGAGCACTCAACATGCTCCCTGGGCGGCGCCGTCACCATGTCTGGGGACACTCTCGCTGCTGCATCACTGTCCCCGGGGCGGGGACGGGGGCACACCCACCACCCAGTGCTCTCCTGACACTGCAGACGTCGGGTGCCTGCCTGGTCTCCGGGTGCCCTTAGCTACTCAGTACACCTCCCTTTACCCAACCCAGCACAAACCCTCACAGAAGAGTGGGCGAAGCACGGGGGGGTTCCCAGCGTTCCTGGGTGTGCCCCTGGGTGTGCCCCTGGGGACTTCCGGCAGCCTGATGCCGCCCATTTGTCAACGACATTGCTATTCAGCTCTGACCACAGGCCAGGGTTGTAACTCTGGAGCCCAGTTTAAGAACTCCCCAGAGGAAGACACGGGTTGACTTGGAAAAAGCAAAGCACAGACACTTTTTGCCTAAATGCTCTATGCATGTCAAATTTTCCTCCTGTTAAAAATAAAATGTGTAATAACTTGCCAAGTTTAGGATGTCATACGGCCATGCAAAGTCTAAGTGACCTCTGAAGATTTCCTCTGTGGTTGCACAGGCTGTGTCCACTCCTTGCCCCTACCGCGTGGATCCGCTGCGACCCAAAACCTTCTCACATCGTCACCTCCGTGCAAAACTGATAATAATACACTAACTTCACACGGGCGTCGTTCCTGGTTTCTAGCTGGCTCTGCAAAGATGGCAGGCATTAGCCCACCCCTCCCCTTATCCAAGGGCTGCTGGGCCATGCGAGGCTGCACTGACGGCCTCTCGGGCCCGGCGCGCCCAGCACACACCGTCCAGAATGCGTGTGGACGCAGCACGCCAGCTGCCGAGCTGCGGGCTGTCTCTCTGGGGTCTATAATTAAGAAACACCTTATAGTTAAAGCTGTCGGATAACAACATCTCCCGAGTGTTTCCGTAACGACACGTCTCTGTCGAACAGCTTCATCTGCCACTTTATAGATCTCCGACATATTTCTGGAAAATTGCAGGGTGAAGGGACGTCTTGCGCAGAAGGGTAGGCGAGTGAGCCTGAAACAGCCCTCTCAGGCAAGAGGACTCCGGTGTTGACTTTGAACTGTGTACGCCCCCTTAAAATAGATCGGGGCTTTCACAGTTCGAGTCTTTGTCCTGCTGACACAGACTTCTAAACCATATGGTCCCAAACTCGTATTTCCTGATGCTACACAGTTTAAAACAAACATTTGACACGAAGTAATAGAAAAGATCTCGAATCACCATACATACCAAAAATTGTAAGAGTTTTGTGATTTTCTTTTATTTTTTAAAGGAAAAAAATAAACTAGGTGGAAAAGGGGGCTTGTCTCCCATTAAATATCTATCTTTTTAAAAATGACTTTCAATATCTTCTAGAGAAAGGAATATTAATGGAGTGCCTACTAGTACCAAGTTCCATAAACAATTTACCATCTCCATGCATTTATAAAAGATTTTTCTCAAAAAGTAGTGGGGAAAAAGAAAGGTCTGTCCTTGGGCACTTGTTTTTTACACCATAGGAAAGAATACACATAGCCACCAGTGAGTTTAATTGGGGAACAAATTTAAATAAATCACTTCCATGGCTTATGAGCAGCAACCACGAACCTGGTCAAATTGTCCAAACAGCCAGTTTTAAAATCCTCTAAAATGTAAAACAAAAACAAAAAACTTGTTTTTTTTTCAGGCTATAATTAACTCCTACCAACAGTGAGTTAGTCTATTTGGAATTCTTATGACAATGGCAGATAAATCACATATTACTTTTGCAAAGTAAGTTTTGTGCGTGTGTGTGTGATTTCTCTTTAACAGGAGGACCTTTGCCTAGACCATCATCATGGAACTTAAAAAAAAAATAGGGGAAAAAGCTAACAAGTATCAATTTAGCCAAAAGTTCATTTCAATCCGAATGTTGTGTAAGATGACTACTCCTTTTAAATACTGAGAATTAGCAAGGCTTTTCTTTAGAAACCAGAACTAAAAGTGAATCAGAGCCTCATGACAAAGAACTTCCTAAGTTTACTGTTAAACATCCCTCGAAAAACAGCCTTGAAAATTCCTTTAAAAAAAAAAAAAAGACCTGGGTTGGGTTTTTTTCCCCAGATAAAGCAACATTTGGCAACCCCCGCTGTGTGACACAGCGCCTTGCTCTGCATTCTGCAAGCCTTAATCAGACTGCGCCCATAAAGAAAACTTGTAGCGGGACAACGCAGTCTCCGACCGCGCGCGCGGAGCGCCCGGCTCCAGCTCGGGGACCCTCCCTCCGACACCTGTGCAGGTACTTCCTGTTCTGCCAGGACGCTTAAAACACTTCGCTAAACGTCCCGTACGAGAACGTTTCAAAGCTAAACATTAACTTTGTTTGTGACTCCTACCACCCGGCCAGCGCCGGCCCAAAGCTTCTCACGGACCCAGTCATCTGCGGTCCCCAGCGAAGGCCCCGGGGGCCGGGCCGGGGCGCCCGGCAGGCGCCCGCCTCCACCGCGCCGAGCGCCCCCGAGGGACTCGGGTCCTCTCCCGCCACCCGCCGCGAACCCAGCGGCGCCACCCCAGCAGCGCCACCGTCAGCGCGGCCCCTCGGGCCCGGCCAGAAACGCGGGAGTAGGGGGCGCACGGGGTCGCGGGGCTGGAGCCGGGGCGTCCCAGGGGGCGCCCGCGGGCGGCGCAGGTCGCTGGGTCTCCATCCAGGGAGCAGTTCCGGAGACTTACCTGCGCTCGGCCCTGCCTCCCCCGCGGGGCTCCCTCCCGCTGGCCCGGCGCTGCCTCCTCGCGCCGACCCCGGGCTGACACGCCGACCGCCGCCACGACCGCCCCCGAAGCGCGCGGGGAACTGGAGCACGAACGGCCGGACTCCGCCGCTCAGAGCACGACCCCGCGCACGGAGCATGCGCACACGCCGACACCCCCGGGGCCTGTCCGGGCGGTGACACCTGCGATCAACAGGTCCCGCCAGCCCCGCCCCTCCGCGCCGCGCGCTCGCCCCGCCTCCCCGGGCTGGCCCCGCCCCCGCCCGCCCCAGCTGACCCCGCCCCGCCCCGAGTTCCTGGGTCTGGACCCAGACCGGGCGGTATTCCCGCGGGGGTTGGACGGGCGCGAGATCCCGCGAGACCAGGGGCCGCAGCATCTCCCGAAGGCGGGAGGCGGCCGCCGGGTCGGGGGGCCGGGGCCAGGTGGCTGTAGGTGGGGCTCCCTGCGGTGCAGCTGCGGGCAGGGGCGCGCTCCTCCGCGCAGGTGATCCTTCCGGGGCCCTCGGTCGTCCCCCCGGGATTTTCTAAGCTCGGGAAGGCGAATCCGCCCAGCACGGGCTGGAGGCTGGGTGGCGGTCCCTGGGGGCCGTGGGTCTCTGGCCGCAGACCCTTGAGCTGTGGGCGAGTCCCGACGAGTACCTGCTGGCGGGGACGTGTAGTCCCCAACCGGTGGTCCCGCGACTGTTAGTAAAAGGAAAGCTCTCATGAGCGTGCTGACCCAGTTCGTGGCTAATGGTGGCAAGAAACTCGTGGCTGCCTCCTTACCGCGCTTTCGGACAGGTTTCCAGCGACACGCTGCGAGCTGCCTGGGAACTGGGCTACACCTGGTTTCGTAATCAATTGTTTCTCAGGAAGAGTACCGAAGAAAAACCCACGGTTGTCTGTAGTGCTAACGTTGTCTCGGTTAAGTAGTAAATAAGGTTGCAGAACTCATTCCAAAGCGGGTTCAGGTAGGACCTCCAGATTGTAACACTGATTTAAGTAATCTCATGGGTAACTAACTGCAAGTCTATTTGAAGAAACATCTTAAGTTGCTTGCAGCGAATAGTGCTTCAAACTGAATCAAGGAGAGTGGATGGAGCATTTACTATGTTCCTGTTACTGAATTAGGCGCTGAAGGAAATTCAGTGAAATTTGAGACATGGTTCCTGCCTTCAAGAGATTTAAAACTTTTGGAGGAGGAGGAGGAAGATAAAAAATGCTACATCTAAAAAATGATAAGAATGACACTGTGAATTCCCCTTAGTTTCCCCAGCGCCCTGTCTCCTGGTGCTCGGACCCCCTACCTGCCACACATTACATGCTCCTCTCCCCTGCTGTGCCCTGAGAGTCCCCACGGTCACCAGTTTAGTTGTTTAAAATTCTCATTGTCTCTATGAGCAGTCTCTTCCCCATCAGGGCCCCGCCTTCCAGGTGCCCCATGCACCCCGCACTCCCAAATGCACAGTGCATCTTCAGGTTACACCCTTTCAAGCAACCGCATCTGTGTTCGGACTTCCTGCAGTTACCTTCAACATAGCCCGCATGGACGCCATCCCCGCCCCCCCAACCTGGAACCCAGCCCATTTTCATCCCCTATTTCTGGAACCCACAGGCACCCCGTAGTTCGTTTCCTTCCTTTCCTCAGTCCTGTTATCAACTCCTGTCGACTCTTACCTCTTCAAGTGTCCCACACCCGCCGCTCTTAAATCTGCACTCTCACCCTCAGACCGTCAGGCCGTCATCCTCCCTCCTGACGCACGCCACCCGCCTCGAACTACTGCAGCAGCCTCCGTTCGCTTCCCCTCCCGTCCAGCCTCCACTCTACTCCCAGTCTCTCCCCAACATGAGAACAGGGCCGTGGTGCCCTGCGGAGCCCAGGGTGTTGTCAGGGGCCGCCCCGCAGCGGGACAGCCCCTCGGGTCCGGCCCCAGACGGCTAGCCCTGTCTACGTTCTCACCCGTGTGCCCCACACTAGCCGTGGGCGCCTCCTAGCTGTCCTGAGATCCGGTGGGGTCCCCGCCAGACCCTGCAGGTCTCTCTGCCCGACACCCCTGTCCTCGGTGGGGCCTTTCATAACCCGAGACAGACTTGCCCTTCCTTCGCCGTTTCTTGGCTTCTTTCTACTGTGACATTCACAGTGTCGCATAAGCATCCCTATGCAAATACAACGGACGGAGCAAGGCCCACCTCCACTCCTGAGAGAACGACCTGGACTCTGGGTCACGGGCTCCCACTCGCCACCTTCCTCACGTGGAGGTTGCAGAAGAATGCCCCCGCGGCTCGCCCTGCTCGAGAGTTTGACTCAACCCCGGCTGAACGCTTTTTAAACCGTGCAGTTTCAGACTTCCTGCCAGGTCGTGGCACATCTAAGGACTGAGTGTTGAAATGCAGACGTGTCATGGGTCACCAGCTGAGTGTCAGAAGGTCAGTGTGAATCACATACGGAGAGAAGGAAAGCCGGCACCACTCCACGTGCTCGGGCAGGAGGAGGCGTTTGAAATGCGTGTAAAACCCGTGTCAGCCATTCCCAACGGCGGGAGTGCCCAGAACACTCTGTCGTGAGGGCGCTCATGGCAGAGGTGCTAAGTGCATCGCCTCTGAGAACCGCTGTCTGTCCTTGCGGGGTGTGTAGAAGCGGGGACTCAGTAGTTCTGGGTGGACCCGAATTCACGAAGAAGGTTGTCTGCCCCTCAGAGTGGCGTAGGGTCGTGTGCGGGGGGAGGGGTGGTGTGCCACAGACCCCCTCACCCCGAGCAGCCGCGGCCCGGCCAGCACTGACACCACCCGTGCCCCACACTCACACACCGGCCACCGTGACTCTGGAGTGGCCGTGACTCGGGCTTCGGGGAAACGTGCCGCCCTGTGGCCGGACCCGCCCTGTCCCCGGTGAGGAGCGGGGTGGCAGCCGGGACCACACAGTGCCGGGAGGTGAGCACAGCTGGGTGCTCACGGGAGGCGAGGCACAGGGCGCCGTCTCCGAGCTGGGCGGGGGAGACAGCCGAGGCGGCAGCAGTGGCCTGACTCAGGGCTAGGCTGCAGGCACACGCCTGCTCCCCAAACTGCTCGGAGGAGATGGCGAGGCTGGGGGGTGTGCTTCCTCACTCACTGAGGGCCCCGGGAAGCGGGGGCCGTGTCTGCGTTCTGTCGTCGTATTTCCAGGGCGCAGCTCGGCGCCGGGGGCAGAGGCTTGCTAAGGGCGCGTTCCCTGGATGGAGTGAAGAGTGGAAAGTCCTATCCTTGTTTCTGGAGAACAGAGACGTCTGAGTGGACCGGAAGTGGGCGGGGGGTTCTGGGGGAGCGCAGGCGGGAGCCTCGCCCTGCAGGGCGCCCGGGCGGGCCTGCTGGACGGCGTGGAGGAAGAGACGTGGTCACTCCAGGGGCAAATCTTTAGACACAGGAATAAACAAGGCTGACGTGGGGCTCGAATGAGAAGCCTCTGAATGGCCCTGAACAAGGTGATTAATCGGGAATCGTGCACAGAAGACATGTAGGGGGACGGCAGCTACGGAGGAAGAGGAGCCCGGCCCGGGCGGTTCCGGAGAAGTCTTCAGGCCGTGACTCGGCGACGAGGTCACCGGAACAACGTCGTCACCGCCCACCGCTCCCTCCTCCACACGCCCACGTGCCGGTGGTTGGGACGCCACCTCCCCGGCTCTGCCCCAACCTCCCTCTTCAGCCCCCTTTCGTGCTCGGGCGACGCCGGACCCCTGCCCCTGGGCCCGAGATCCCACCTGTCCTCCCGGGTTTGGGTCCACTCCCCGCACAGGAGCCCCAGGGGCCTGTTCCGAACAGAGACGTGCTATTCCCCAACTTAAAGTTGTTCGAAGAATCACCACTCGCGTAAAATCGAATCCCAATTCTCGTGGAGGCCTGCAGGCCGCAGGCGATCCGTCCTGGCCTGCTCACGGCACCTCGCGCTGTCCGAAGCCCTGGTCCACCACCCCCTCCGTCTGGCGCGGCGGTTCTCGCCCGGGGCGGTGCTGGCAGAGGCCAGACACGCTGTCGCACTGGGGGTGGGGCGAGTCCCTACTGGTCTCCTGTGGGAGAGGCCAGGGCCGCCACTCCCGGGCACAGGACCATCCCCCACCACGGGAGTGACACGGGGCACAGTGCCGGTGCGGCCAAGGGTGGCCAATGACAGACGCTCGTCCCCTGCATTTGTTTCCAGGTGGCCGACCCCTTCTCAGCCTCCGCACCCCGGGTCGGACTTCACCTTCTCGGCCCCCGGGAGCCCCCGCTGCCCTGGGGCACAGGGAGCGGCTGACGCGCCACCTCACGTGAACCACAGCCCGGGAGGGTCCTGCTCGTTCGGGTCGCTGCTTGCTCATCGTCTGCCCCACGGTCCAGGAGGAACGCCCCGTTCCGTGAAGGGCGCATCTCGCCTGACGCTCGTTCTGTCTGTCCAGCTGACACGGTGGCACACAGTGGGGATCCACAGAGTCGTTCAACCCCGAATCAGTGTCTACAATAGGTCACCGCGTGGACACGTAACAGGACGACCCTTTATTCTTTTCTTTTTTCCTGGAATGTTGAAACGTGCAGCTCCTCGGAGAGCAGAGTGAAGACACCCGGGGAGAAGTGGCCGTGACCAGCGATGTCCCTGGCAGGCCGCGGCCTGCGGTCGGAGCTCAGACACGCTCCGTGCCCCTCTGTCCTGAGCAGCTTCTCGCAGTCACAACCGGAAGCGCAGTGATAATATCACGGCCACGCTGACTGCTGCCCGTGGGATGGTGAAAACCGCTCAGGAAGGAAAGGTGGTGAGGGACCCCAGTACCCGACAATGAGATAAAGCTATAATATTTTTGATGATCTCTTAAAAAGTGAGGAAACCTGATTTATGTGCATATCTGAAAAAAAGCTGGAAAAGTGTCCTGGGAAGTGTGGCTCATATATATTTCATTTCCTTCAGCTGAGAAAATATCGATGGGGCCATGTCTTTCTCCGCTTTCAGGAGCAGATCCAGACCACACAGCCACGGCCCCGGCGAAACTGCCAGTGGGCTGTTCCCCCTTGTTCTGGCCACAGTGACGGGTCCGAAGTGACTGGGGCTCATTGGCACCCTTGCCCAGGAGTTTCCAAATTACCACTTGCAGGAAAGATCCCTGTTTTCTCTGATTGCAATGCTGTGAAGACATGCACTCAGAGCGGCCTGTGGCGGTGTCCTCGCCGCTGAGCAGCTGGTCTGAAAGAATAAGGTGGGTGTGGGG